GTGGGGGGGGGTGAATATAGTTCCCGAAAGTGAGTTTCCTCCCAAACATACTGATAATTTTGACAAACAAAATGTGTTTCTCAGTATATGGATGTCCTAGATTGCATAATCTAAAGAGTAACTGTCCTACAGAAAAAGTGAGCATGTTACAGTTCTACCTCCTCATGAAACCGGGGTTTCACAAGCGATGAGCTTACACATCATTTGCCAGTGGATTGACGGAGTGTGCCTCTCAACGTCAACTTCATTTCGATCGGTATTTTCTCATGTCAGTGACCAGGACAATATGACTAATATACACATACGCTCACAAACACATCTCTNCACATCTCTACATACCAGAATCAAATTTGCGGTAGATTTTCGCAGTTCCGCATCATCACCAAATGCCGCTTTGGTCTCGGCCAGGCGTCGCATAGCACCGAGCAGCGCAGTGAATACATTGATCTGAACCGCTTCCTGTCGAGTAGATTTGGTCAGTCGTATGCATTCGGCAAAATGTTCCATCATTTGGGCCCGGTGCCGCACAGGCACACAAGGGAAGATGCGTCCAAAAAGTTCAACTGCGGAATCGATAACGGCTACGCTGATCGGTGGAGGACCGTAGAGATTGATTGCACAGGTGCTCACAGAAGCAGCGGCTGCCGCACCAGCAATGCTTGTATAAGAACCGCTAGGTCCGTAGAGTGGTGATTTTAGGAATGAGGAACCATCACAACCCGAGGAAGTTAGCGACGGAGAGTGGCACAAAGTTGCATTGGAGTCCACATCACCGTTATATGTATCCAACGATCCGGTTACTGGGGTCTGTGAAGCAAGATGAAACGCACAGTATCAAAATGATGCAATTGTCATATATATGAACGAAATATAGAACTCTGAGAGGAAAACAAAAAAAAACTTTTTCGTGGGAAAGAGATGTAGACAGATGTACACAATAAACCTACCGTAGCCCAGATCAGACCATCCCGAAGAAACAGATATGCGGGGTCATGTTCTAGTGCACCCGGAGTGCTTCCTCCGTTCGGTTGGAGCTGTAAAGAATACACACATCAGATAACGAGAATTATTGATCGCAAACACATAAGGGAAGAAAACAAGAAGTTCGTTGGAATCCACCGACACTTATAAATAGCTGCAGGGATCGACCGTAGCTATTAGCAAGTTTAGCTGGATAACAATCCTTAGCAGACATCATGACATTTGGTTAACCGAAGGCCTTCGGATAAATATTATTGCACAATACTGCGATAGAGGTATGGATAGTTGAAAGAACTGTACGTTCTAAGCTACTCGGGAAGTGCAAGACATTGAGAACGTCATATAGGGCGACTGGTTCTGTGGGCATGAATTATTCAACCGGATGTGCATGAAAGGTTTATGCTTCTTTTCCATTCATCCCACGGATTATAATGATACGGTGCGTTTAGGGCAAATTCGTCACTCGTATAAGTTCTACCTCTTCGCACCATTGTAAAGAAAAGACAGTAAGCGATTTGGTCATGAAACTGAACAGCCCCAATACCAAAATAAATAACTTTTCTGTGTTTCCTCGTAAGACGAAAGTTGACAGAACCATTGCAATTTGGAAAACTCAACACGTAACTGCGTGTCGTGTCGTAGTGCGTTTCCAATTGCCATGCTAATGCCAAGGAAATTATTTTTGCATCTTATTGGTTATTTCGAGCAAGTTGTTGATATCAAAATGGTCAGCTGTTTTGATGAAAATCTAGAAGTAAAATAAAATTAACTGAGAGGTAAATGAGAAACTGTCTTTTCTAAATCTCTTGGTGGATCCAGTAGGACATGAATATAGAATGAGGTGGATATGAAGATCAATAAAACAGAGTTTCAGTGCTCTCGTAGCTTCATTGGTGCATGTGTGTATACATCTATCTGTTTGAGTCATCGTTAAACCGACCGAGGTCAGGAACAGATCTAATAGTTTTATACCACAGACCGAATTCAGTATTCACAATTTATTTTCATCGATATCAGCCGAGAGCGTGTCCAGCTCACTGCTATCATAAGAGTGGAAGGACTAGCAAAAAAAGAAGAAAATAACGACTGTGAAGCGGAATTTCAAACAAGTATTGTCAATAAATCTAAAGTAAAAAAATTCTTTTCTTCTACCGGGTTTTGTCGCACGACTTTCAGAAAACTCAACAAATGAACAATTGAGAAGAGTGCTTCGATAAGTGGAAACAGAGAGATAGGTGAGTTTGATCGATTAGACGCTAGTAAACAATAAGGCTTTGTTGAACAATCGTAAATCAGATTAGATTGAGAGAAATGATCGCAAAGACTGGCAAGCAGTCGTGCTGATATAGAAGCAGAAGGAAAGCTGTAGAATTGAGTGAATCATCTATGTTTTGGTTTTCCACGACGGTATCGCGATACGATCCCAAGCTTTTGGTTTCAAATTATGCAAATGTTGTTAGTGGTCTAGAGAAAACTGTCAAGTGGAATACAGAAAAAAATTTCAAATCAGAAAACGTTGTTTAGCGAGACAAATACCCTTTGAGATAACTGTGTTTATGCAGAGAGAGAATACGTCGAAAAGATATCGAATAAGCATCAGCTTAAAAAAGATCAAAACTGATCTGAAGCAAACGGAGGATAAAACCCGGTTACTCGTGCGTTCCTAAACAAACCATGAAGCTTAACTGATGACAAACACCTCGAATAAAAAATGCCTAGTAACACGTACTGACATATAGTCGAGTTGGAAATCAGAGGTCGACCTAGGGTTTATTTTTGTTACCTTCGCTGTCTGTAGCAGTAAAATAGTGCCTAAGGTCGGTCACACACACATATACGTTGCAAGTCATTATGATTAACGATTTAGTGTTTATCAGCCTCCAATCGTTATGTCTAAATTGACTAGACCCGATGAACAACAAGGAGAAATTGGATGATCGGATCGGGGATCCAGGTGAGAATAAAGCAAGCAAAAATGGCTGAAGGAAGCATGTGTCAAACGAAAACCCATTGTTCCCTTGTTAAACAAAAATAATTCGCAGAATGGGATGTCAACTTGCAACCGAACTGTTGCCAGAAAACGTTGGAGGAAAGAGGAAGAAATAAACTGAAGACTAAGTGAACTCAGAACAAACAGGATGGAAATAAGACTAGGCCTGGTCACCGGTTATCAAAGACAGTAAAGTGTATTCATGAGTTCTCCCTACTGATGTGTGTACCGAGGGGGGAGGGGGCGGCGAGGTGCTTAACTGTGCAGTCTGGGAAAGGTGCGCAGCGGCTGTCAGATGCCGAACGGAGTATGTCTTAATCAAATCAAATAAACAAGAGGAAGAAACGAGGTGGTTTACTTGTTTACTCCTCATGATGATTCATCGGAATTCGTAGACGCATTTATGCATGGGATAAACAACGGGTACACGTTATCTTAACATAAACTAGGTGCGCTGAGTGGACAACCCAAGTGTGAGAAGAAAAACTGTGAGGCTGACGCAAATCGACAACAACGCTAAATAGAAATGCACAGAATTAAGCAGTTCTAGAAGTGGTCCCGAAATTGGATTACAATTTCCTCGACAATGTACCAGTTCAGCTCGAATATGTAACTCGCTGTCAGGATTTGGTAACATTATCGTTAGGGTCTGTGCTTGGACGACGGACTCAATTGCTTGCGGAGGACAGTAACACTTTCGGGAGTACTTTGTATCATCGAATGCAAAAACTCACAAAGCTTATTGATAGTAAATGGCGAACCATATCCAAGTAAGCGAACAAAATGCAAGCTTGTAGCGCAATCCTTGGAAATCAACCATTACCACTTGGTTTCAATGGGAAGGACTTGTCGAACTTATCGATCGGGAGGAGGGAGGATGTTTCACATCGATGGGTCCAAAGCAAGTTTCTTTAATTAAGCGCACTTTTAGACAGGTTGAAACAGCCCTGTCGCCTAATTTGCTATCGGTACATATTAGACCGTACACCGAATATACCATGCATGTTTTAAAATGCAAAATAATTATTTTGTACCAAAAGATCTCGGCTAGACCGGGACGGTTCGATCAGGAATGGAGTGCGGGTGAAATTCAGCTTAATGTGGAGTAAAAGAAAAGAATGACTTGATCACAACCTCGTGTCAGAAATCATAAGGATTGTGGGAAAATCCATCCTTGTAAAAAGGATAAAATTTCACACTGCTGGAAAGAGAGTATGATCGATCGGAGGTGGGCGCAGGTACGTTAGGTCTCCGCAGAAGAAAAGGAAAGGTAGTCAGTGTCGATCGTATCGGATGTAACCTGTGGAAGCAACGAACAGCATAGATTAGCTGGAGTGTATTTTGTATGACTAAACCATGCTTGTGGAAACTAATCGAAAATAGATCAGGCCTGGATTTCTTCAAGTATAACTAAGAGAATTTTCCTTAGTAGAATAGACTCGAAAGTATAGGTGCATGATTTTAGATGCCCTGATGAACCAGAGACCCGATAGCAGCCTCGGCTGGGATGAGAGCAGAAAGCACTTATGCAGGCACGCGTAGGAAGGAGCATGGTTCCAAAAGTTAGAACCCATAGCAAGTGAATAGCGAAAACGATAAACTTTATGAAGGTCCATGGTTCGGTTAACTTAGGTCCTGAAGTTTACAGACACCTTCCCCTTCCTCAAATTATGCTATGCAACCGGGGAACTCGGAAGTACGAAGTGGTGACGGTTGACGAAATGAAGATATCAACTACGCGGGAGTGAGAAATAGAAAAAGCTAGACAACTTTGAAAACGCAAAGCAAAAAAGGTGAACTAAAGAATGTGGAGCGTAACTCTTTTGGCAGTTAACCGTTATTTTATTCACCCGTAAGTAGGGGGAGAATCAGCACATTACATGTCATATCGTGTATTTCCATATTTGACTGGTTCTATTGGAGTTTACTTATTTCCATTCTGTCCTTGCGCTTCTACCTATAACGACTGTCATACAGTTTAAATGACTGGTTGCAATATACCGGTGCTCGCAATTATTTATTCTTAGCTCCCATCTGGCACCGTCGTTCAGAACGGACCAACGAAAACGTACAAAACCAGGATCAATCTAGCACGCGAATTCACAAACACAAGGTTCTATACATATAAAAATTAATGCGTGGGTCTTGCGACTTAGAATATCTTAAATTGAACACTAAATTCATAGGTTGTATTTGTTGATTGAATTGTGTGCACCGGCAGACAAGAAGCACCAGACATTTGCTTCGCGCCTATTAAAGTTTGTCAGCAGTGTGCATTATTTTCGTGTCCCCGCAAGAACTGGAATCGTAAAACCTAGGGCTGGGAGTCAAAATCCTGAAGAATGAGCTATACGGTCGATAAACGCCTAGCTATATTAATTCATCCAACGTGCGGTTGGTTGACAAATTTACCTAATGAATAAAGCCTTTCATATTTCCTTTTCCACAAGAGCAAGCGCAGGATCCGATGAACTGGACATCGTCCCCAACAGACTGCGGTTTTCACATACCACCCGCCCCTGCCCTCGCGGGTCACAGGTTGGCTAGCCGAAGGGTGCGGTTGTGAATTACTAAGAGAATTCACCTGTTTTGGCCTGGACGACCTGGTAGTATGCCTCAAACGAGCATTTATTCTACTGTGGCTCACTCAGTGCACACTTGCGTCTTAGATAAAATATGATAATGTAAAAGGTGATGAAAAGGGCAATTTGGATGAGGTGCTGGAAGCAACAGACAACACAGCATGTATGACAGAGGAACTGACTAACCTGTTCTTCCAACAATTTATGATCGGTATCATGCACCCAGCAGCCCAATGTGACACTGTCATCTGTACGACATAACCAACGAAGCAATGATGTGGTCGTATTCGCCGCATTGTCTGTCAGGGTGAATTCAGCAACCAATTCGCGAAGAAGTGTGCTATATGAACCTGAAAGATGGAACAAAGAGTGAACAGGAAGCTCCCAATGGAGAACAATTGGAGACAATCAGGAACAACAAAGTGGATGTATCTATCAAAGGGGTATGGAAACAGGAAGCATGATCAAAGGAGGAATGTTCACCACGAATGACTCCAAGCAAAACTGTATTAAAATGATTGAGGCGAACGACGCATACACCGGACCAGTATGTGGGGGAATAGCTATAGGTTTATGAGAAGATAAAAACATGCACACGACTGTTAGAGAAAAAACAGTAAAAGTGATGCTAACTGGAGGAAAGGAGATGCTGGTACTGACGAATGCCTCGCATGATTTTTTTCGGAAACTGCCAATCCGTTGACGAGATAACAAGTTGGAAAACGAACAAAACCCAAACTGAATGCGCCAGAGCAAAACGCACAAGCTGATGAAACCACCGATTGAGCGATCAAACGTTTGTCAGCTGTGAGGAGCTGAGTGAAGTGAAACTCGGCCAGCATATACTCCAGCAGGCGAT